CCTGTTAGGATTATAAATCTTTTTCCTTTAAAAAAATCAACTACCATCTTTTCAGTATTAAAGAAATATATTATCTATTGGCTAATGCATGTGTCAAGTTTAAAAGTAGTCCATAAATGTTGTACATTATTACAATGACTGAGATACAAAAGGTTAAAGCAGAAGATTTACTATTCAAATTGAAGAAAGTTTAGTGGAATAGATTATGAACTAAAATTGAATGATAAAGACCAGCTTATGTTAATTAATATTGATAGAGATTATTAGAAAGCTAAAAGAGATGAAGTTTTATGCTTTAGACACAATATTTTCCTAATAGGAAAAACAAGGCCTTTCCATGTATATATTTCAAAACAGTTTCTCCTATAGTCACTCAACATATTCTCAGCAGAAACCTATGGAATAGGTGAAGGACATCATTGAGAAATGAGTGAGAGGCTGAATTCACTTTAGACTTCATTTATTCCAGCCAATCTACTATACAGATGAAAAAACAGGAGGTCATCTAACTTTTACTACAATCATACCATCATTTAGTGTCAGAAGCAGGCCTAAGACCCAGGCTTGTTGCCTCTTAGGCAAGGATTCTCTCCACTAGATTCTACTATCTTTCCCACAATTGCACGTAACCTGACTGGAAAACTACAAAAACTCATTTGATCTGCAGTGGTGTTAACTGAATCTAAAATGTACTGCAACAACCTCAGGATAGACAATTCAATATTTCAGTTTCATTTTCCCCTCCCACACACCCCCCATTTTCTCTCCCTTAGCTCTCATCAAAACTATACTGCAGAAATTCAAGAACTAGCTCAAATAATATAAAGGAAAAAGGACATGGAATCCTTTTATTTTCATCTAATTAAAATCACAAATGAAAATATTCATAATGACCTACCTATCATATTCAGATCAAAGGTGAGATATAAAGTTTAGTTAAGACCTAGCCTCTTCCCCTCAAGGAAAGTATGGGCAAAAGAAAAAGGATAATACACTACAGAGGGCTCTAATGCAGTTGTTTATAAACATATTAGGTAGTTTGAAATACATAAAAGAAATACAAAGAATAGATGGAAGGTAATCTGACAAGACAAGGCACAAACCAACCACAGAGGGCTGGTGGGGGAACCAAGAAAGGTGGGATGAATGAAGCCAAGGAAACTAAGAAAGAAAAGTGAGTTGGGAGGGAATTTTAGGCTTGGGAGGTGATTAGTAGCAAGACATAGACATAGGAGATGAGATGTTCAAGGAATAGCATCTAAGTCGGTGTATCTATATCATAGAGTGTATGGAGGGGATTAAAGCATAAAAAGACTGGAAAACTCAGAAGACGCCAAATTACCCAAACAAACAAACAAACAAACAAACAAACCCAAAAACCTTTATATTTGATCCTGGAGGTAATAAGGCAACACTGAGTTTTTGGTTGGGGTCAGAAGATGATAGGCCTAAACTTCAGAAAAATCACTTTAGCAGCTAAATGGAAGGTTATAGTGGAGAGATATTTGAAGCAGGGAGACCAATTAGAAGCCTATTTCAAAGTCCAAGTAGGAGGTAATAAGTGCCTAAACTAGGTGGTGACTGCATGAGTAGAGGGAAGAGGATATACACAAGAGATGCTATGGATGTAGAAAAAGATAGCCAGGAAAAAGAACTGGACTTTACTTGGAAAGAAACATGGAGCCAACAAAATGTTTGATCAGAGGAGAGGAAGATTGACATGATGAGATTTATGCATGATAAGGATTATTCTGACAGTCTTATGAAGGGTGCCTTGGGTAAGGTGAGAACTAGGGAAAACAGAAAAATGAAAGGAAAATATAAGCAGAAATTCATAATCATTAGAACAGGTGATAATGAAGACTTGCTGTGGAGGGATGGGAATGTGAAGGCAGAGGAAGTTGTCAGTGTTGTAGATTTGAAACAAATATGGATAACTCATGACAGAACAAAAGTGTAGGAAGAGCAATGGTAAGACAACTTGAAGTTAAAAACATGGGAAAGTAGGTGAATAATGGTGGTGCCACAGACAGAAAGAGTGAGATCATAATGAGGAGTAGGTTTAGGGAGAAAGACAAAAGATAACTAATTATGTTAATTTGGATAAGTTTTAGCTGCCAGTGGTACACTCAGGTGAGTGAGATAACCCATAGCAATTATGAACCTCGGTATGTACTTAGGTTAAGCAAAAAAAAAAAAATCATGATCTGAGACACAAATTAAATTATTTATTTTTATTCTTGAACAAACAACATGTATATACATTTGTGTATGTACAGATATATGTTAATACATATATGTGCAAACATATATATGTGTGAACAGAGAATAAATATTATGTATATATAATTTGTGTATATATACATATATAATATATACAGATTATACAGACACATATGTCTATATATTTTATTTGTTAGACTTGAACAAAGTTATTAAGATATCAAAGATGTCAATCACCAATCAATGAAATAATCACAAATTTCAATCCATTTTTACAAACACTGGCAGCTATTACAAACCCAAGATAGTATCAAATATAAACTGTGGAAAAGGCAAGGGAAAAGAACAGAGCGGAAGGATATTGCTAGACCAAGAAGATGAAGATGAAGTACCAACAAGGGCACTGGCTTCAGGAACAAAGTGCCAATTAAAAAACACTACAGAAAAAAGAAAAAAACAAACAACCCAGCAGGTTTAAGCAATGGATTATATGTGCAGGGCATAGGAGAGAACATAAGATAACTGGGTTCTTTGAGTCAGACTTGGAGTAATGGTATAACTGAAACAATGAAATAGTTGGGAATTTGCAGACGAATATAAAGGGATTTCTATTTTACATTACCTATTAAACACAATATTGGTGACAGTGGTATCTTATGGATAGTCATATGAGAAACATTTATACATTTTCCCCTTTCTTTGCCTATTATGAAGCATTAAAACTTTGCTTATATTGTCCTGCTCCAGGTTCTCTGAGGCCTGCACACCCATGCCATATTGCAGTCTGCTACCCACCAGGCACGATATACCTTTCTGATCGATCATCCAGGCTGTCTTGGGCTGGAAATTTGCTTCACTCTGTCTTTTTGTGGGTTCTGCTGCTTTAGAATTTGTTTAGAGCCATTTTTTACAGGTATTTGGAGGGATTTGGGGGAGAGCTCAAGCAAGTCACTGCTTTCACTCTGCCATCTTGGCTCCGCCCCTCCCTCATATTGGAAATAGAGTGAGAGATAGAGATATCTGTGTTCTGTGAAATATTAAACATTGTTTTTATAAAATTATGCATACATTTTAAAATATGTGTACGACCTGACCCAAAATACAAATATGGTTATAAATTTGTGGAATTAGTATTTAAGCTTATTAAATATGTGTAATATAAACATGTTAACAGATTAAAATGCATTCATTGTTTCATAGAAAGTATATAATGATAAAACAAATAAGATAATTTAACATTACTGTAATTATCTAAAGAATTGGGCATTTTAGAAAATTCTATTTAAATTAAACAAGTATCATGTGCAGAGGAGTATACTAAGTATTTTGTACTAGACTACTGTCTGTACTGATTTATTTCTCCCTCCACAGGTGCCAGAGTGCTTGCAATTCCCCAATCTTCAATAAAGTCAGTTTATCGAGGAAAGATAAATCATTTAGTGGACCTTGAACCAGAGTTATGAACAATATAGTCATTTACAGAGTGTAATGGACTACTACTATTATCATAGTTAAAGTATTGCTATTAATAAAAATAGTGTGCAAAAAATGAGAACATTTACATAGTATCTTATGGTTTGGAAAATGCTATACAAAGGTTACAGGGAAGCTGAGACCATCTCTCTACTTCAATGCCACCTTAACATGAAATGTACTCAAGTGCCACAGCTCCCTGTTACACATTAAACCTTTGATTTAATGATGGCCACCTTCAGTAGTCCCTTTATTTTCATTTTTAAGGAAAATATCACCTTGATAAATATCACCGTGTCACTATCACACTAGTATGTAAGTATATTGAAATAATTTAATCAAAAACAGGAGGTACCCAGTCCAAGACAAGGACAGGGTGAATGAAAAGTAAATAAAAAAGAATTATATTAGAAATAGAAGGATATTTAGAGGTCATCAGTTCCTCCTCCTGCATTCTCTAGAAGAAAGAAACTGAAGTCCAGATAATTTAAATTATTACAGCACAGAAGATGGGGATACTGAAGGCTAACTTTGTCTCCTTCAAAATTTTGCTTGGAAGCAATCTGGAATGTAATAGCCATAAAATATTGTTGAAAATGGTCTCATTATTCTGGCTCACTAAGATGCAAATGACTTGATCTTATTTTTCTTTTTTAGCTTTTGATATGTATACACACACACAGACATACCCTAATTGTCCTCTAGGTCCTTAAGTGTGGCCCTTCAACTGAACCCAAACTTCTCAGAATAAAGTTCTAGAGAGCCATGTGTGTTTCAAGGCCACAGATTCCCCTCCCACTGGACTAAATAATCACTCAGGTTCCTTCCAGTTATGAATGCTTACTTAAGGAATACAGACTGAAACATAATATTTTTCACTTTCTTTCCTTTTTTTTTTCCATTTTTGAGTGTTTGTGCATGAAATGACTAATGTAGAAATGCTTTATATGATTTCATATGTATAACCATGTCAGACTGCTTACCATCTGAGGAATGGATCAGGGAAGGGAGTGAGAGAGAGATAGAATTTAAAACTCAAAACTTAAAAAAAGTTAATTGTTTAACATGTAACCAGGGGAAAGATAGAATATGTCAAAAAAATGCTCACTAAAAATAATACAGAAATATTCAGCTTTTCTTATATAAATGAGGGACTGAAAATATCTGTAAAATGAACTTTACTTAGATTATAACACCCCAAGGCAAGATACCATTTAATTAATAATATGTTACTTTAGGATCTGTGTTCAAGAAGGCCTTAACTGAAAGCTATTTCTCATTCTTAATATTAATTTATGACTTACCATATTGATTGGATCAACAGGTCCAATGCTGTTAACATAAACATCAGTTTCAATTATTGTGGGTCTCACTGAAAAATAATAGCACCAAAAAAAGTCACAGATATGATCAGCTATGTAGGGTATAAAGACAAAATTTAAATTAATGACATAAAATTATTTACTTACACTATTATTTAATTAAAATTAGGTGCCTGTACCATGGAAATAAGCTTTAGTTAAGGAATCATATAATACATTTTAGCTTACTGTCAGTTCTACAGTCTAAAATTACAAACTTGTACAATTTGATAATGGGAAGGGAAGGAAAGAATGGAAGAAATGGAAGGAAGTAAGGAGAAAAATGAAAGGTTGGAAGGAAGGAGAAAATTTGAGAGAGAAGGAAAGAGCTAAATTTAAAGTCCAAATTAAAACATTTAAGCAATGCAATTGTTGGATGGATCACATTTATAGAGCAATATAGTTTAAATGGACCTTGGAGGTGACTTAGTCTAATATCTATTAAATGTAGAAACCCTTACTACAATATTCCTGACAGGAAATAGTCTAGGCTCTGCTTGAATGTATCCAATGACAGGGAGTTGTTTCCTTCAAGCCAACCCATCTTAATGCTAGAACACTTAGAAAAATATGTCTTCTGTGCAGCTGAAATCTTTAATTCATTGGTCCTAGTTCTGGCCCCATGGGAGAAAAAAGGGTTTTTCTTCATTATAAGCCTTCAAATAATGTAATAGTGTTAATATTCTGTTAAGTTTCTGATCTTCAGACTAAAACATCTTTTCTTCAATTGTTCATTCTATGGAAACAGAAAAAAAAATCTGTGAAATAATATAATAAATCATTTTCTACATTGATTACAGTGTAGCCAGAGAATTTGGACTCAAATGTTGCAATCCTAGTTGTTTTTCAAGAGGAAGTAGAAATGACGTAAAAGTAAACAAAGACAGAAAACTGAAATGGACTTGACAGCTAACCTACAGAGAAGAAATCCAGAGCGGAGGTAACAACATTGTAATGAGATTGAGGAATCAATTCCCCTAAAGGTAGCTTACAAAGGGAAAGATGCTAAAGGCTTGGGAAAGGAAACAAACAACTTCAAAAACCTCATAATGTATTGTTACTGGAAAAACAAATGACTAGTGATATTCACACTTATTGACCAATGTGCTTACCTTCCCATCTCTACATTGTTTTTAAAAAATGAGGATTATCTACAACTTCAGAAGTAGAAGGGCAGAGGTGGAGTTGAGGGATGAGAGTTAAGAAGAGTTGAGTTCAAATCCCACATTGGTAATTCATTAGCTATATGACCTTGCACAAGTCACCCAAGTTCAATTTGCTTCAGACAATTTCGTATTTCATTTCTTCCAAATCAAATGAGTTTTGATTTTTGTGGAGGGAATTAGGGTACAAGAAATCCTCTATGATCTAAAGACTACACATATTTTGAGGACATCATTGATGAAAGTATTGAATGGAATGCTGCAGGTCATTTTTACAGCAGACCTCATCTTTATAGTCATACATTTGACTAAAAGGCATATAAACTAATAGCTATGAGGTCATAAGACTGTGATTTTTGATTTTTGGCTATAAAAAATATTTGATTCACTGAATTGATTTAAAGGGACCTCCCCAATATTTCCTATCCATATATCAAAATATTACAAATTGTTGAAAAAATGTAAGAGATAACTTTTTGGATGACTGATTATAAATCCCAAGTAAGATATAAAAGAAGGGGACATTTACTCTCAAACAGAGCTTGCTACCATCATGGAGCATATCTAGTACTGAGTCTATATGGAAGAGGAATTTCCTATTGATAATATCAGGGTCTTTCATATCCTATTGTTGGTGAAAATCATTGCAATGCTTTTAGTAAGAAAGTAATATTGCAATGACAACCACATCATTAAAAATTTTGTTTCAATTCTCCTCACAGGGAAAACAAACAAGCAATCTTAAGAAAAAAAAAGTAGATGAAACGAGTCTATTGTCCAGACTTTATATTGTCCTGGGAAAGGCCCTACACTCTTACACTCTGTTGGGTCCTGAGCATAAAACAAAAAGTAAGAGAGTACTTTTAATTATCTTTGGGGAAAAAAGTTTTTAATGACCCCAACCTTCACAGTGAAACAAAGTTTATATATCTTTCTGGTGAGCTAGTATTGCTAACACACTAACAGTCATGGAATAATACAGTCTCTAAAATTTGAAGTTAAATCTCCATTTTCTATCAGTGGCTCTGCTTGGTGTCAACTCCATGAACATCATGCCTCCTCAGCATAAGCTTATCTTCTCGAATCTCATCACCATGAAGATTGACTTTGCTTTTAATACTCAACACATACTCAGTACTCTCATTTGCCCCTCCCCTAAGATTAGAGTAGTGGAGAGTGGAAAAATGAATGCCTCCTAAAGCTTTCCTTTATAAAAGGTTCAGTACTTTCGAGGCAATTCTCCATTACCTCCAAGACCTCCATCAGTAGGTCTACTTGCTTTTGACTCCATAAATATCATGTCTCATGCTCCGGTATGTCCTCTCACCCCCTTTCCAGAAATTTTGTATTTTTGTGTATTTTCTTCTCCCATTAATTTATAAGTTCCTTGAAGGCATTGACTGTCTTTCCTTTTCTAATTGCAACTCTAGCACTTAGAACAGTGTATGGCACATAGTAGGCACTTAATACATATTTATTGAATTGAATTCAGTTATCTAAAGGGCAGTGGTTGGGGCAGCTTGGTGGCACAGTGGATAGAGCACCAGCCCTGAAGTCAGGAGGACCTGAGTTCAAATCTGCCCTCAGACCAAACACTTGAAACTGGCTAGCTGTGTGACCCTGGGCAAGTCACTTAACCCCAATTGCCTAAAATAAAATGAAAATGTTTAAAGGGCAGTGGAGATACTCATGGCAGATGTAAGTAAACTATAACCTAGTGCCAATCAAGATTTGTAAGAGAAAAGTCACAAAAAGTATGTCATTAGATATCCATAATTGCCAGAAAAGCTGAACCAGCCATGTGCCAAGAATGAGGGGAAACTAATGGACATCCCGAGTTTTGTTTTGTTTTTAATACATATAATGTTTAAAAAGCTAGATGAAAGTTCTTGGATTTTATGATGGACTCCCTCATCTCTGCTGAATTTTGGGGAGTCTATGGATAAAAGTTGTGCAGAAAAAGAGGTTTACCTATGAGGTGTGATATGTACCCCTGGAAAGAGTACCCACATAGATGGCATACAAAGTTGTTGAAACATTAAAAAAAAATACTGCTTCATTGTCCAAATAAGACCATTATAATGAGAAGGAACTAAATGTCTAGATGACGTTTCCTAAGAATGAGTCCTCATCTTTACCTTGGTCATTTCCTATCCTGCCCCTACAATGGTTGCTGCTGCTATTTCTCCTCCAGTACAGATCAGAGACCAGGCTTGGGAGGAGCTCAGCCATTTGGATGTATGTTTTATAAGACCTTGAGTCCTCATCTTGCTTGAGATATTTTCTGCACTCCACCAATGCATGACTACCCCTTCCCTATTCCCACTTCTTGTTATAAAAAGTATAATCAGACCAGCATCACCTTTGCTTTTGGAATGGATTTATCAATAGATTTCTTTACATTTCTACTTCCATCATAGTGATTTCCCAGACCAAAACACTCTTCCCTTTTGATTCCTGCCTTAAGTTTTCCCTTCCTTATTACCTGCTACATTCTTATGCTCACAGGTGTAAATCAACACATAAACATCAGGCAAAATCTTGATCTAGTGAAATATTATAATTTTTTAAAATGAATACTGGTTGTGAAGTCATTTAGATTCAACAAATATTTATTAACTTATTATTCAGGGTCCTTTCCTTGATATCAATTAAGTCTATAAAGGGAGAACTTGGATTATATCTACTCAATTCCAAACATTTTTTTGTCAGATTTCAGTGTTTGGTATCATGGAGAAAAAAATTTATTGATTGACCAAATATTTATGTTTTCAACTTGATTTAAACACTGCTATTGCCTGATTTTTATTTTTTATTTTTATTCTTACAGAAATTCTTTGCATATTTTATTATGTGGTATTTTGATTTAAAATATTTATATTAATTTATTGTATTCATTTTGTTAAGATTATACAATTATCAATATATTTCCATTAGGGCCAGATTAAGTGTATTATTATCTTTCAGTTATCATTTTTAAATCTCATTGATTACATATTTTTGAAGAAAAAGTAGGATTTTCTCTCCATTTATATTATCTTTTATTAGATAGTGTATATGTATGTATGTATGTGTGAGTATATGTGTGTATGTTTATACAAAAAGATCAAAGTACAAACACATTTAGTAAGTAAACATGAAAAGCACTAAATGAAGATAAATTCCTAAGTTAATGCCTTTTTTGTTACAAAATTTTAAGAGAAATAACCTTTATGTATATCAATTTTTCAACCTGAAGGATCTTAAGAAAGTACTGAATGGCATTTTAGTATTTAACATCAAAAGGCCAAATTTGTTTTCTGTAAAAGTCACCCTTACCAAGTGACACAAAGCTCTTCAGGAGGCTGAAGAAGGCATTTCTATGAAATTTCCATTTATCATATCTGACTTAGGTCCTTTTGTGGAAAAATAGAAAGTATCTAGGCTAAATCGATTCAATCTATTATAATAAAAACGGATACATATATTCAATAAGTACATCAATACATGCACAGCATGATAAAAACTTTTGCTTTTGCATTACTTTGTTGAGGGAAATGCATGCATGTATATAATAGCTAGCAGTTATGTAACAAGTACTATGTATAAGGCACTGTCCTTAGTGCTTTACAAATATGATCACTCTTGACCTTCACAATGATGCTGGGAGGTAGGTGATAGTTGAGGAAACTGAGGTAAACAGAGGTTGCTGTCTGACACATAGTAGGCATTTTTAAAAGTTTACTGGATTAAATTGAATTGAATTTCCTTCCTCAGGTTCACACAACTGGTGTTTGAGGTTTGACTTGAACTCAGGTCTTCCTGACTCCAGACCTGACTTTTTATCCATTTTTGCCACCTAGCACTTT